CACCTACCACCACCTACTACCACACCTACTACACCTACCACCAATTTACCCTCACCTACTCCTCACCTACTACACTCACCCTCTCCTATATAATGAGCCACTCACCATTTGTAATTGACACAATTAACACATTAATCAATAATACATACAATTTATCTCTATCAATATTTTTTACTTGGTATCAGAGCTATAAGATTTAGGCCTATACTCCTTTCTTTCCGGCGGGCAGCCGGCCGGCAACGTTGCCTTCGCTGCCCTCGCTGCCCGCGGGAGTTTTTCAACACATATCACAAACACATACCTTCTCTCCCGCTGTTTGATTCGGAATTCGCCGAAGCGTCACATATTGATCCACAAACACTTCGCCACACTCTTTGACAGAACAACTCATCACTCCCCAAAAGCCCCAATTTCACTTCCTTTTTTGAAACCCATTTCGTCAATACCAGTCTCGCAACTGCCTCTCAGTATCCCATTTACGGCGCTGGTGCTGGTGGGATGATGACAGGTGCAGCGGCAGCAGCTGCAGCGGCGGCAGCTGCCTTCTACCCATATCTGAATTTCGGAGAAGGGACTGATGGAACAGGTGGAGGAGGAGGAGGAGCTGCCACCAACTACACGACAGCGGCAGTTGGACAAGGGTATGGTGTGCAGTACCCACACCACCTCTTTCAGTACTCAGCAGCAGCAGCAGCCATGAACTCAACTGGTGGCGCCTACGGTCCACATCACTATGCTGCTCCTGTTTCTCTTGCACCCACTCCTCCTTTGCAATCAGGTTTGTATTCTTATTCACATACTACTCTTCATACCCACCCACACCCTTTATTTTAGTTATTTAATTATGGGTCATATTATGATTTTCTTTCCTCCTTTTCTTCTTTATTATTATTTTTATTTAAAAATATTCTTACAAAAAATTCCCACAAAATTTTCCACCATATTGATATAGCAGTGTTAAGCATTATTACATAAAACACTTTTTTTTGTGCTTAGGGATACTTGTTACTTGTTAGCAAAATCCTTTTAAAGTGACAAAGTTGCATTACAACCACATTATCTTATACCTGTTTATCGTGTTGTATTGTGTGTATATATATTTTAGTTAATAAAATTTCCTTTGGAAGATAAGATTGTGGTAATTGCATGATGATGATGATGATTCTATTAATTATATTATTTGTCATAAAAAGTATTAGATGATTCTTTGGGTGCTGCTTGGTGTACCTTATCAGCCTTTGTTTTTGATGTGGTAGTCTGTTTTGTGACAACGTAGTTGGGATGGGTTGGTCTTGTTTTGATACTCTCTACACACTCTTCCTTTTTGTTTCTTTTTATTGGTGTTCGCTTTGTTTTGTGTGTGTTTGTTGTACATTTTACCTACATCAATAATAAAGTTTTGTTTTTTGCTGATAAAAAAAATAAAAAGTATTAGATGATGCTTTTGTGTATCATTTTATCTTATTTTGTTTTGAACACACACACAAATATATATTAGTGGCTGCTGGCAAAGAGGTACTAATATCTTTGACAGTTTGTTTTGCTGTGCCACAGGCGTGACGATGGCTCTCCATGCACCAATGCCTCATCGTTGAGAGATTCATTGGATTTTGAACTTACCTACTCCAGTCTGAGTACTCCTTGATCATCAGAAGGATCTGAAAAACCTTTGGCCTAACCATGGTTCTCTTTTTTCATCAGAGTGTTTGTGTGAGTGCATGTATTTGGCCAAAAAGCGTGGTTAGGAACCACGATTTCAGCAGAAACAAATTTTGGTCAAAAAGCGTGGTTCAAAACAGCGAGTTCAGAAGAAATTTTATTTTTCATGAAAGCGTGGTTTAGAACAGCGAGTTCAGAAGAAATTTTTTTTTTGATAAAAGCGTGGTTCAGAACAACGTTTTCAGAAGAAAAATTTTGTTGGATAAAAGCGTGGTTCAGAAAAGCGATTTGAGAAGAAATTTTTTTTTGGATAAAAGCGTGGTTCAGAACAGCAATTTCAAAAAAAAAAAATTAATTAAAAGCGCCTTTCGTAACCACGATTTATTAATTAAAAGCGCGTTTTGTAACTACACTTTTAAGACTTCCCAATTTTCACGCGGGACAGGCACACAGACGTTGAAAGCGTGGTTGTGAACCACGTTTTAGCCTATTTTGGAAATTCTTTCAAAACTAGGCTTAGTTTGAGAATTGAATTGATAATTTGGCTTATTTAGGGAAATGGCCCAATAATATTACATATATATGTAATATGTGTATTGTGTTACAAATAGAGTAAGATTGAGAGTGGAGGTTATATTTACCGATTTGGGTGGGATGGGAGAGAATTCCATGATGATTGGGTCAGAAGTGGAGGCAAGTGGCCAAAATAGGGGTGCGGGTAGGATAGGAGCCCCCAACCCATACTCCACCCCATCCTACCCGTTGCTATTCCTAACTACTAGTTGCCACCGCCGCCGCCTCCTCCTCCTCCTCCTCCTCCTCCTCCTCCTCTTCTTCTCATTCTTCCGCATGGTACTTATTAGCTTCATCTATGTCCTCTATTGTTAAGGCTATGTTTGGTTGTGTTTTAGTTTTTTTTTTTTTTAAACAAATTATGAACAGTTTAAAAATTCTCATTATTTGGATATTATTTTAATTTGTGCCAAAATGCTTTTTGAAATTTCAAAAATTATTTTTTGATTTTTTTTTAAAGTGTCTTGTTTTCAAAAAGAAAAAGTTTATGAGTACATAGCAGGCACAAAATGATAGAATATATGGATGTAAGACAAAATATTCACAATTATAAATCAAAACATCTTTAGTTATCTATAAAATATTTTTAATATACATGTAGCACTGAGTCATTTTGCTGTTTTAAGAAGAAGATTGTGCTTTTTCTTTTTTCTTTTTTTTTTTAAGATAAAGAGAGCATTAATATGTTTCTATAATTAAATTACAACTAACAGCCCCGCTACGTAGCTCGAAATCCCCGTGGCTCGATTGGCTTGAAAATCAAAACGACGTCGTTTTGATAGTTTTTTCTTTTCTTTTCTTTTCTTGTTTTCTGAAGATCTGAAGAAGAAGAAAAAGAGAGAAGCAGAGGAAGAAGCAATTGGTGAACAGAGCATCATCATTAAGATAAAGAGAGCATTAATATGTTTCTATAATTAAATTACAACTAACAGCCCCGCTACGTAGCTCGAAATCCCCGTGGCTCGATTGGCTTGAAAATCAAAACGACGTCGTTTTGATAGTTTTTTCTTTTCTTTTCTTTTCTCGTTTTCTGAAGATCTGAAGAAGAAGAAAAAGAGAGAAGAAGAGGAAGAAGCAACTGGTGAACAGAGCATCATCATCAACAACAACCTCTTCATCAACACAGCATCTCATCATCAACAACAGAGCATCATCATCAACAACAACCTCTTCATCAACACAGCATCTCATAATCACCATCACCATCACCACAAGATCCAAAATCAATTCATCACAGATCCAAAATCACCATCTCCCTCTCTTCTTTTTTTTTTTTTTTTGGAACAGACAAAGTGGGTTGGATTTATGAAGTTGAAGAAGAAGAAATTCATCAAACCCAGCAAGAAAAAAAACAGTTTTAGAGAAGGAAAAAAAAATCAAAATCAAAAAATCAAACCCAAATCAGAGAGAGGGATGAGAGGTCTCTGTTTTTCTTTGTCAAAAAATCAAACCCAGCCCCCCCTTCGTTTTAGATATAAACAGAGGTTGTTCTCTCTCTCTACTCTTTTTTTTGCCCAAGTCAAGTTGTTGGGTTGATGATTGATTAGCTGGGAACCAACAGTGCAAGTTCATGACTTATCTCATAGACTCCTCTGATTGCTCCTTCGCTTTCTCTTCCCTGGTTGTTGTGTTCACAATGTATTAAAAGAGAGATGAGTAAAGGTGTACAAATTCGGGCCATTTTCGAGCCACGGTATTCGAGCTACCACTCTTTTCTCTTACAACTAAAATGGTTCATCATTGCTCCATATGTTCGATTTCCTGATCTCCAGCACACTTTAAAGTGTGACTAATAGACTATTAGACCAAATCCCAATATCTGACCGTGCTGATTTTACTCATTCAACAACATAAGATTAAATGCTTACTTGTTCAAAAAACAAGGAACTTAAAAAAATAAAGAATAAATTATAAATACATTTTTTGAAATTTGCTTAAAATACAGATTGTCTTCTGTGAATTGAAAAATTACAAATACCCCTTTATTAGAATTTTTTATTTAACAGAATTAACTAAAAAAATAAAATTCATAATTGTTCTCCTATACAATAATAAAATTACCTAAATTATTAATTGAAACATATTTTTAATATCATTAAAAACTGTTAATTGACTTGATAATTTATTAATAAAATTGGCGATTTGTTATGAAATTAAAAATCTCAAGGGGTGAAATTTAATTTTCAAAACAACAGGGGGCGATTCGTACTTTAATCAAACCTCAGGGAGTGTATTTGTAATTTATCTAAAAATAAATCACAAAATATCATTTAATAAGTTATGTTCAACATAATTTCTCAATAAACACAACTGTTTCAAAAAAATTCTCAAAAAAAAATGAAAACACAATAAAACAAGGAAAATTTTCAAATCAACGTAGGCTTTTAAAAATAATTATTAATAATTAAAATCATAAATTATTTTATGAATCTCTAATAATTTTATGATAATACCGTGATTGGAAATTTTCACATAAAACAAGGACAATTACTACAAGCTCTAGACTTGCACTAATATGGTTGTATTAAGAGCATCTCCAATAGTTTGCTATTGGAGCTATCATTGTTATAATATAGCAGCTATGTTGAAAAATGACACTCCAATGATTGAATATAACAGCTGCCAAATTTGAGAAATTCACAACTGTCATTTGTGCCAACTCAGTCAAAACCAATTGTTTTCCTCCCTCCTTCCGTCCTACCCACCCAGCTAGCCAACTATTTCACCATTTTTTTTTTATCAAAATTCACCCAAAAAAAATTCAATAATTTTTTTTAATTTACCTGAAATCAACAAAGTTTTTTTATTTTTTATTTTTATTTTTACAAAATTAGTCAATAACAATCATCAAATCTCAAACAAATTCAACAAATCTCAGATTCAACAAAAAAAAAATTCAACAATTTCATTAGAGCTCAACAAGCAATTTCATAACTTCAAATCTCAGAATCTCAGAATATTAACAAAATTGAAAATAATAAATACCTAATTTTGGTAGTTCAAAGTAGATCTGGTGGTGAGCCACAGCGTCAAAGGAAACGGTGAAGATATTGCCGGCTGTGGAAGCAAATCTGGTGGTCCTTGGTTCAAAATCGGTGATTGTCTTTTCGATCTTGTCCAACGTCGCTGATCCATTCTGAAAAAGAGAGAGAGAAAGAGAGGTGGGGGTAGACGACGGCGATTGGCGGTGCCAGAGAGCAAAAAGAGAAGTGAGAGGGAGATGGAGATAGAGATAGAGAGGGTGTGTGTGTGTGTATGTGTATGTGTGTGTGTGTGTGAGAGATAGATAGATAGATAGATAGATAGATAGAGAAAGGAGGGATAAAGGGAGGAAAGGTTGGTCTTCGACTATTGGGGGTAGACACCGTCACTGATCAAAGAGAGAGAAGAAAGTGAGAGTAAGAGGAAGAGTGAGAGGAAAAGGGAAAGGGAAAAAAGGTTGGTCTTCGGCGATTAGAGGTAGACACCGTCACCGATTGAAGAGAGAGAAGAGAGATAGAGGGGGATGGAGATGGAGATGGAGAGGGAGGAGAAAATTGTGAGAGAGGGGGAGAGGGAGAGTGCAGACAGAGTGAAGAGTCAAGATGATTATGGATCATTCATCTCAACCGTTGGAAATGGTTGAGATAAACGGTGGTGATCTATCTTGGAAAGGCAAAAAAGCCATTGTGCTTTTTTTGCCTAAAAAATAAAAAAAAAAAGTTTAAAATCAATACAAACAACAACTATAAATGTTTCAATTTTTTATTTTTTTTTTCATTTTTTTTATTTGTCTAGTTGGGAATAATGTAAATATATTAGTTTTTTTAGAAACAATTAAAAAAAATCACAAAAGACAAAAAAATAATAAACAAAAAAAAATTAAAAAAATCTATATCCAAACAACACCTATAAATTTTGAGAAAAAATTGATTTTTTTTTTTTTTTGGGTATATCGGAATCTAAAAAAACAATGTAGGAACTACATCCTATTTCCCTCCTCAGAGATGTACACAATATCCACAACTAGAAGATGCCGGATTTCCGCTAGTGGGGTGTTAACAATTAGAAGGTCAGTTGGTTGATTTTCTCCTAGCTTTGCCAATGCATCAGCACAAATGTTGGCTTCCCTCCGGATGTGCTGAATGGAACAATCACAGCCTCTCATGATAATGTGTGCATCTTCCACAATGCCTCTAAAGGGACATCTCTCACCTAGATCTTTGCTCAACAATTGCACTACTTGCTCCGCATCTGTTTCTATTATTACTTGGTCTATCCCTCGCTGGAGTACAATTGTGAGTCCCTTGTAGACAGCCCACAATTCTGCTTCAAGACTGGTGCTGATCTCTAATCTCCCATAACAAGCGCTAATCCACGTGCCTTTCTCATCCCGGAATAGACCACCAAAACCACCACCTCCTCCATTCCGCCGAGTGCTACCATCCGTATTGAGCTTAATTTTACCTGCACTTGGACAAG